ATGGAAGATTCCCCCTATTCCAGCCTTGGACATAATCTTCCTTAACTTGGTGCCCTCCAAATGTATTGAAACTCCATTCTCTGTAGCCATGGCGGCCATACTGGCCAGAGACCGAAAAGACTCATTACTACATGGAAAAGGAGCCATGTTGGGGAAGTCACAAACTAGGCCTTGTTAGCAAAGGGCGAGCGACTTGAGGTCCTCCAGATATTGCTGAACTAGTTTCCCGCTTTGCTCCTCAGGGCCCGGATGCAGGGCCTGCTGGGAGTTGTGGGGAAGGCCGCCAGTCGTTTGTGAGGAGGCAATCTCGACATCCAGCCTCTGGCCGGCTTGGCAGGAGGCGTCCTTCCCAACGGGCGGAGTAAATACGCGCCAACAGCGGCTGCCTGCGGGGAAAACAATCGGGACCCTCAGCCAAGAGGGATTATGCCCTTGGGGAGCGCCGGCCTGGTCTGCCTCCCACCCCGCTTTCTAGGCCGGGCAAAGAAGAGCCTCTCCAACTTGTGGCCTGTTGGGAGTTTCCGGAAACTCTGTTAAACGGCAGCGACGAGGTCTTTCTCCCCGCGCAGTAAACAAGCTTCTTAAAGACGTTTTGTTGAATAATCTCTCGTAATTGTAGTAATTAAAATCATCATCCAGTCACCTTCGTTTGACACAACAGAGCCTTCCCTTGTTAATTGTTCACGTGTCTTCAGCAGACGAGGGAGAGGGGCGCGGGAGGAGGAGGAGGCGCACTCCAGGCCCCTTCTCCAATCCAGGCGGGTGATCCATTAGTGAAAAGGGGGCGCTGGGAAGCCCAGGCGTTTCGAAACTGGCCCGCCATTTGGCCCCATAGCTCGGCCTCTCCAGGCAACTGTAGTGTGACCCGTCCCAGCCCGGCGGAGGTGGACGATCTGCTCTCGGCTGTTGCAGTGAAGAAGATGGCAGTGGAAGCGCGCCAGGATTCCCAAAAGCAGGAAAGGAAAGGAATGTGTGGGCGCAGGGAAATCTGGAGCGCCCCATCCATCCCTCCTTTAATTTTCAGAGTTTGACACCCAGGGGGACGGGTCTCCTTTCCTTTTGTCTCTCTCCTGGTCCACCATCCCCTTCTTTTTCTTAACCAGAAGACATTTGCTTCTAAACCCAAACCGTCTCTTCTTCTTCTTCTTCCTCCTCCTCCTCCTCCTCCAGAGGATCCGTCCTTTCCACCAGAAAGAAAGAAAATGTTTTATCGGGGCTTCCCTAACCTCAGGGCACCTCTCTAGTTTCCCCTTTCACTCCTTTTTTTATTATCTCGATCCTGGAGGGAATCTATAGGAAGCACACCCACACACACCCCCTTCAACTACACTTCCTGACGTGGTCCTGTTCCGTGGGAGGGACTGTCTCCTGGCATCCCTGGCCGGTTTTGTCTCGGGGAAACGCGCGGAGTACCCGAGACTGGGTGATGGGGTTGGGGGAGTGGGAGAGAGAGAGAGCTTGCTGCTTAAGGAGAAAGGGGGCACAATTATTGGTGCAAATGATCGGGGGCTTTCCTCCCTCCCCTCCCCTCCCCATCATCTGTTTGGTTGAAGGTGCGCTTGCTCCTTTCAGAAAGGTTGGCACGGGCGCGCCTTCGCCCACCCCCATCTCTGTAGGAACTCTTTCATCCTCTGGTTCTCGGGCATGTTAACAACTGCTCTTCAATCGATTGATTTGCAATAGCTACCCCCGCCCTGTTTGTGCGAAGAGAGCCCGTTTCATCTGAAGGCTCTTGAATACGAAACCCGCGTTGTTCCCCTCCTCCCCCAGCTCAATCATCTCTAATGAACCAATTGTTTCGTATTTCTACCTCCTAAAGATTGCAACTTTCAGAGTCGCTGCAGATCGGAAGGCGCAGGGAAAGGGGGAAATCTGGAAAAACCAAATTTGCTGAAAGGGAGCAGGGCCGGTGTCTTTAATTAGTCCATTCTTCTTTATTAGTATTCATATTGAGATTTGTGGGAAGGGAGGGAAAAAGAGTTGCATGTTGATTTAGCCACCGTGTTATTTACGATGTAAATATATTCCGAGACAAAAAAAAATCCCGTCACGGATCAATTGTAAAGGACCCGGATACATAATTTTTAAAAAATCAGTTCAGTTTATATGAGGTTCTCACCCCACTTTCGCTTCTTAGTCAGATTTGTTTATGCAGAATCGACATTTAATAGTGCTAATTGCACTCCAGTTAAATTGCCCTGATTGCAGAAAGGGAAGCAATTTTCATGCTCTCTGTCTGGGTTTGGAAGAAATTGTTTTATATTCACCTCTTTATAAAGAAGTAGAGATAAGGCACCGAGCCTTTGCACAAATTGCACTTATGGGCTGACTGGCAGCATTCAGGCGCTATAATAGAGCATTATTTGGCCGTTTTGAATAATGTAAAGCGGCTGCTGAAAGCCATTCTCCTGAAAATTGCTTTAACTTTTAAAAGGGTGATGATTCACTCCAAACCAGGCCCTTTGTTACATTGTCAAACATTGTCCCCCCCCTTCGCCAATGTTTTAACAGTCAGCTCAACACTTCAGCATAACACACTGATCTTTGTTTAAAAACTAGATTTTTTGAGTATGAAGAAATCTGACAGAAAACGTTTGAACCCCCCACCCCCCACCCCCCCCCCAAAAAAAAACATTTAGGAAGCGGCTTTTTCTTTTTCCTCCAACACTGGATATCTTCCCTTCTTTTCAGACAGGCGCCGCTGCTCCGGTTCTAGTTCATTTCACTCACTTTTACTTAAAGAGAAGAATTGCTCGGCCACTAATTTGCGGAGCCGCCCGGCGCCCTGCGCATTTGAAAATAAGGCGGACGAAAATGTGTAATGAACTTCAGGGACACGGCGCGTGCTTTTGTTGAGGCAAACGGGTGGTGCCTCCAAAGCTCCGTCTAAAGTCAGTGACTAAAAGATGTGTAACTGCACCGAACAAATATCTCACCTTCCTTTCTCAGCTAGTTAGACAGAAGAGGGTCTTCGTGTATCTCGTTATTTGCCCATCTCCTTCTCCTCTCCAGCTGCCCTCAGTTAGAAAAGACGCCTTAGTGTCATTAGCGCTCCCTTCTTTTAGCAAATGCAGGGGCGAATTCTAGCAGTAGACCGGAGAACTGGCCTTCCTCTTCACTAAAAGAGGGGGAGGAGGGAGATTATCACTTGTTGGGTGAAGGCTTCTGGACCGAGGTCCCATGGGACTCCCTTCCCCATCCCTTCACACCCCTTCAACGCGTTGTTGAATATCAGTGACTACCCTACCACACACACACACACACACGTCAGCTTTGAGAGAGATTTCACTGCTCAATTTTCTTTAAATTATGTTTTGCTTTTCGCTGCTCAGCCCTCTTCCTCCTCCTCTTCCGCCTCCTCCTCCTCCTTCCCCCCACGTGCCCCACTGTCATTGCTAAGTGTAAAAATGATGGCGCACAGGTCTGGGGACAGCCAGAGGGGCACGGATTCCCCTCCCCTCTATTCACATTTGAGCTTTTTGTTTGTCTACTTCTCCAGCCATCAACAAAACGGAGCAAGCTAGGGCTAAAACGCTACAAAGGAGGTTGCAACAGCCACATTGCCGCTGAGCTATTGAGTTTACTGCGAGCGACAAAATTAGTTTCTTCTTTGAATATCTCCGCGCAAGTCGCCTCCCCCCCCCTTCACCCATCCCGTCTTATTTAAACACGGACGGAGGGTTTTCAAGTGGTAGGGTGGGGTGGAGATAAATTGTGATCCTTTGAATCACGTGTATTTTGCATCTGCGAACTGATGAGGTTTGGACGCAACAGATGTGGCAGTAGAGAAGAATTAACAGGGGGAAAAATAAAGGCACTTTACCTCCCTATGTTCCCTACCTCAGTCCCTCATAACAGCAGGGAAGATTGGGCAGTTCAATAAACAAAAGCGAACAGCCACAGCATTGCAGATGAGAGCTCATTCGTTTGTTTTATAGTTAATCTTTCAGCCAGGCATCAAACTGATCGCAATTTCCTGGAATAGTCTGCCACTTGCCCTCGTCAAAATTCAGAGATGGTATGGTATGGTGTTAATTCGACTTCTCACTTGTAAGAAAAGGATGAGACATATTTTGTTCAACGCTTTGAGGACTGGTTAGCCTGGATGGTTTCTCCAGTTAGTGGTGGCCAGTAGGAAATGTAATGCAGCCAGCAAATCTGACATTGGCTCTGTCTTTTCACAATTTACATACCTGCTCTTCGCAGGTAGAGGAATTTTACAGACACCGATGGCTAAGATGCAGGCAGTTTCGTCCCAGGTCCTTCCATGTAAAAGCGGTCACAATTTCTCTCTTGCTTCAATTTTCCAATCAAAGCAAGCAAATACACTGCAGAAGCACTGCCAACATGCTGCAGATAGTTGAGATAAAGTTGTGTGCAACTGTTCCATCACTTTATGTTCTGCACCACATGCCTTATAGGCGACTATACCCTTATAGGCGGCAAGACCAAGGTGAAGGAAAAAGGCTTTATAAGGTGAATGATTATTCTTTTATTTTACTTTAATGAATGGAGAATTAATGAGCTGTGCATTATTCGGGATATAAGGGGGAGAAACGAAAGCGGGGAGTGGGGTGGGGCGGGAGAGAAATAATCTGAACTACAACCATTCCGGCTGTGTTTTGCCATTATACCCTGCCCTTTGTGCTCCCATCCTAGAAATCAACACCGAAAGCAGAAGTAGCATTCCTATTGTTCGTTCCTGTTATGACCTTAGTGGTATTTCAACCTAGGCATTATTTATTTTTTTAAAAAGAGTTAATTGCAGTATAATGCTTTTAAAAGACTAAAGAACACTAGTAAAAATCCCCCCCTCCCGGCACGGCTTTGACTGGCACGCGCTCAGAGCCCTGGTTCTTGCATCTCAAGTTTCTGATTGGCTGCGGGGCAACTCCTGCTTGTCCTTTCTCCTTCCTCATTGGGTAAGAGTCCCAGCCAGCGGTACTTCAAAGCAGGCGCTCTCTGCACTTAGGCTGAGTTTAGCGGTCCAGAGACAGGAGTGTACTTAGTGCACTGGAGTACAGCGGGAAGCTGGGAGGACGTCGCGCACACTCGCCAGCCTCCCTTCAAGGCAGAGCCCTCCTTCCGATCCGCTCATCCAGCCAAGCGACTTGGCTATGGCTACGTCTATCCTTGGGGTAAGTCAGGGGGCGCTTCTTATACTCACGGAGGTCGATTTTCGTTGTCGTCTCCATCCCCTCCCCCATTTTTGACCCACAGTGTTGATCCAGCAGGAATCAGTTTGTGGTTGCAATCAGGAGACGAGGTTATATAAACTGTACGATAAAAGAAAGCCAATCATCTCCTTGAGGGCTTCTTTGAATTCCCGTTTCAGCTTACGACCCTCTTTATTCGCTGTTTTGATTTGTCCTGGCACTCACTGCTCTCTCTCTCTTCCCCCCCCCCCATTTCTATCATTTTAAATTGACCCCGTAGCAATTTCTCACAGCCTCAGATTTACTGGCGACCTGGTAGGGAAGTCCTGTGACCGCGGGTACCGGTTCGTCGCGCTTCCTTTTTTTTTTTCTTTTTTAGAAAGATAGCCCTCTCTTAATGTCTTTAGAGAGAGCAGAGTGCCGCCGTCGCCCGCTCCAAGGTATATTTGATTTTGATTTTAAGAACGGTTTGGCCAGCCATTATTATGAGAGAAATGGACAAACCTCAGCCTTCTCTTTAGGAAAGAAAAAAAAAAATCAGTGGTGCGGTTTGCTTGTGTCTTTCTTCATTTCACTTCCGTCTGCCCTAGGGTGTTCTGGAGTTTCCTTCTTAAATTCTTTCTCCTTCCGCTCAGCACCATCCCGGGGAGCAAGTGACCGTCTGGATCGAGCTAGGCGGGACAAGACTGAACCTGGAGTTTTCCCTTTGTTTGCTTTTTTAAAGAGAATCCACTGCGCCCCAACTTTTGGCAAGGACGCCTTTGATTTGGGTGCATCCGGGGCCTCCTCCTGTGAGCGTCTCGGCGGGTGAAGGAAGCCGGGCCGTGTCCGATGCGCGCTTAGGGCTTAGAGGGCGAGATTGACGGGCTCGTTTTGTGTCTCCCCCACAGGAAGAGCCACGCTTTGGAACCACGCCCTTGGCCATGCTGGCCGCCACCTGCAACAAGATCGGGAACACCAGCCCGCTCACTACCTTGCCCGAATCCAGCGCCTTCGCCAAGGGCAGCTTCCACCCTTGGAAACGCTCCACCTCCAGCTGCAACCTGGGCTCCAGCCTGTCCGGCTTCACTGTGGCTACTAGTCGGGGCTCCAGCGGGCTGGCCAGCGGCAGCGGCACAGCCAACAGCGCCTTCTGCCTGGCTTCCACCTCGCCCACTTCTTCGGCCTTCAGCAGCGATTACAGCGGCCTTTTTTCCAACTCGGCGGCGACGGGCGTGTCCCCCCAAGAGCCCGGCGGACAGTCGGCCTTCATCTCCAAAGTGCACAGCTCGGCGGCAGATAGCCTGTATCCACGGGTGGGCATGGCGCACCCGTACGAATCGTGGTACAAGTCCGGCTTCCATTCCACGCTGGCGGCCGGCGAAGTGGCGAACGGGGCGGCCTCGTCGTGGTGGGACGTTCACACCAACCCGAGTTCGTGGCTGGAGGTGCAGAACCCAGCCGGAGGCTTGCAGAGCTCGCTGCACTCGGGCGCCCCCCAGGCCTCCCTCCACTCCCAGCTGGGCACCTATAACCCGGCCGACTTCAGCTCCCTCACCCACTCGGCCTTCAGCTCCACCGGCCTGGGCTCCACGGCTGCCTCGCACCTGCTCTCCACCAGCCAGCACCTGCTAACCCAGGAGGGATTCAAGCCCGTGCTCCCTTCCTACACGGACTCCAGCGCCGCCGTGGCCGCGGCCAGCGCCATGATCTCGGGAGCAGCGGCCGCGGCGGCGGCCGGAGGAAGCTCAGCGCGCTCCGCCCGACGTTATTCGGGCCGGGCCACTTGCGATTGCCCCAACTGCCAGGAAGCCGAGCGTTTGGGCCCGGCGGGCGCGAGTTTGAGGCGCAAAGGGCTGCACAGTTGCCACATCCCCGGCTGCGGGAAGGTCTACGGCAAGACGTCGCACCTCAAGGCGCACCTGCGCTGGCACACGGGCGAGCGGCCCTTCGTCTGCAACTGGCTCTTCTGCGGCAAGCGCTTCACGCGCTCCGACGAACTCCAGCGGCACCTGCGGACTCACACCGGCGAGAAGCGCTTCGCCTGCCCGGTCTGCAACAAGCGCTTCATGCGCAGCGACCACCTGAGCAAACATATTAAAACGCACAACGGGGGAGGCGGGGGCAAAAAGGGCAGCGACAGCGACACGGACGCCAGCAACTTGGAGACGCCCAGATCCGAATCGCCGGACCTTATCCTGCACGAGGCGCGAGGCAAGGACTCCACAACGGGGCCCAATGACTCTTAAAGAGGAGGAAAAAAAAAAAAAGAGCGGGAGGCGGCGGCGGGAGAAGTTTTTGGCGGGACGGGAGCCCGCCAACTAGAGTGCGAGAGAAAGGAGACGCGCGGGGGGAGAAGCCAAAAGCGGCGGTCGCGGCGTCGCCGCCACTCGGGCTCGGCTGTTCCGCGAGTTTTTGTTTTTTAAAGCAAACGGGGTGGGGTGGATGTAAAGGTGAAGCGGAGGGCGAGCTGTTAAGACTTTCAGACTGTTGGAGAGACCTTGAACCCGGCCCTCCAGGCAGAGACAATGCAACCATTTCCCCCAAACAATAAAACAACGAGCTTCATCTTCCTGGCGAAGAGCAATACAAGTGGCCGGAGATTTATTATTATTTTTTCCTCTCTGCCAACCCCTCCTTGTCACGCACATTCACCTTTCTCTCCCTCCACCCCACCCCAAAAATAACAAGACTCGCCACGAACAGCCGCACAAAAACGGAACTCGCCACCCGGGACTACGGTGCTTTTCTTTTGGAGTGATTATAGTATAGTTATAAATCTAAATTTACTGCAGACAAACGGCAAAGTCTTATTTGGTGAAATATTCTACAATGATGGTTTTATATTTAAATCTGAAAAATCCCGTGGCGCGCCTGTGCGCCGTATATACACCCAGACACATATACAAAGGCTGAAGGTGAGAAACCAAACTGGAAAATACCCGGAGACGGTTTATCTCTTGTGATTCATCAAAGCTATGTATAAGTAGGATCCCAAAACACTCCCCCCCCATTGTGTTCTCTTTTTCCCCCTTGTAAATGTCAGTTCTGATTTGAGGGGGAGGGGTGAATTCCTGAAACTCAGAGGAATTCTTTTTTTCTAATTATTATTTCTGATGCACTTTGTGGAGGTCAGTATATATGTAAAATATATTTAAAATGTTGAGTTTAACATTTCACTCGCACCAGTAATTTAAGGTTGTTTAAAGAGATTTAATGCGTTTATCTGTATTGGAAAAAAAATCTTGACATATTTTCATTTTGGTATTATTAAAGGATTCTGAACAATGCGCTCTGGGGTTTCATTTTCCCCTAGTCAATCCCGCCGTTTATTCACTTTTATTGAAATCTGAGCGTCATAGACATTGCACTGACGAGATTAAAGCAATAGTTGCAATGTTAAACAGGTTAGGAAATAAATCCCATTCCAATCAGTACAATTTATTCTGAATAAACATGGTTGTGATTTAAATATATTAAAGGTGAATTAAAATACTGTACGCCGTTCATACTAAAGATCAAACTTTATTTAAGAACTCTCTCAAATGATGGGTGCCAGAATTTTAATTAAGTCAATATTCCACCTCCTTATAGGGAAAAAAATGGGACCGAACCCCTTTTAATTCAGTTCCCAAATCCCACTGATCTGAACCATATATATGGAGCGCAACTTGCTAAAGCGATTGGGCTCCTTAGCAATAAGAAAACCTCTAAAACTCATCCCGAATATCAAAGGCCATTTCCATAAGACTGAGAGCCCATAGGAAAGATTTTGAAATGATAAACGTGGGCCGAGCAAACATTTTATTAAAGCGAGCATGTGAAATCTATAGCGAGGTGGCTCAGGTTACAGAAGGCAATCCCACGGGGAATAAATCGCAAGAGACATTTCATGCCTAAATGAAAATCTTGTTAAATGTTATTAATTTTGACTTGGAGCACATAGCAGCCCCCTGTGCCTTGTATTCCCTTATTAGAGATTCATGTCTTATCAAATATCTAATTAATCTCCTAGACATCATTTGTTCTAGCCAACTTTATCTCAGCTGGTCCACGGGGAAAACCCCTCAGAATGTTCTCAGTGACAAAGCTTCCCTGGAAGATCCTTTTAATTGTTGAAATGAACTGCGCCAAATTTGCATGTCAAACGGTAAAGGGCAAGGCGAGATAAAACGTAATCGTTTTAAAAGCCTTCCAAATTCAGCACTTGATTTGATAACCGAGCCTCTCTCTCTCTCTCTCTCTCTCTCTCTTTTTTTTATGTTATGGAGGACAACTGCTCTTTTTCTTTTCAAAAGGATAGTTGATCTATGCAAATCGTGGTTTGGAAATGCTTATGTCCCCCTGCAGTCAAATGCCCCATGCATGTTATTTGAATATCAGTGGCTCTGCCGTTGAAAAGGTTCGAGGATGCTCTCTGACTTCTTTGTGATTACGCAGTGCAGCGTCTTATTCTGAAGGAAAGGGTGGGGGGACCTCAGGAATAATTAAAGGCTGGGATAAGGCCTGGGAACACATTTGGGACAGGAATCTCATTTAGACAGCCTCTTTTCAAAATAAGGCACAGTTAAATTGACCAGAAGGCAATTATTGAAATGAAAATTATTTTCACTCCCTTTGTCTTCTGACCACCAACTTAAAAGCCACCGTGTATTTCTAAAAGAGGAAAATCGTTCCAATCGTCTCCTCCTTAATTGCGCTACTTTAAAGAGGGAGAGAAACGAATGGAAGGGGGAAAAATTGAAAGAAAATTTAAATTGAACATTTCAGAATGAAAGGCTAAAGTATACTCTCGGCTTTTCTGTCCATTTGGTTATGGAAATTTACAGACACACACACACACACACACACACAGGGAAAGAGCGGACACTTCTGTGTATGTGTAGGCAGACATATATTTCTTTCTTCTGGAAACGGATTGGCAATCAGGAAGAAGAACCAGGCTGCCAGGAGGCTCTGAATAGAAAACATCTGTTACATCTCCCGGGCAGAAAACTCGCACTGAGTTTTCCGTCATTATTGTACTAAAAATACAGTAGGAAGGGGACTAAAATATTTCCCAAAGGTGGGTAAAAACGGTGTAACCCGAATTTGGGAAGGATTATTTGGGGGAATCGAAGGACAGTTTTGATTTATGCGTTGGTGGCTATTTTCTCTCTCTTTCATTATTTCCTCTTTAATCTGATGAAGACGAGAGACGCGAACAACCTTTCCTCCCCGGCTGGCCCGTCTGATCCGTTGGTTGGCGATTCGGTCGTAAACCTAAACTTGCAGAAGACGACCATTTAATGCGTGTGAAGTTTGCGAACGTCCATTTCTTTCCCTAACCTTTCCCCGCTTCCCTTCGCCCACAGCGTTTGTTTGCTTTGGAGCCTGTTTTGCTCTGGATCTGAGGGGGAAAAGAGACGGTGGCATCAGGCGTGGGGAGGGGGGGGGGAAGCAGAGGTCGAAGGGAGCAGAGCTGGGCCAGCGACAGGATGCGGCTCCTCTCTCCCCGCCCGCCCGCCTCTCTCGGCTGGGGCGGTCATTGTGGGCTTTCTAAGGAATGCGTTCCTTCTCACTGGGCCTTGGGCAGGAGTCAGCTTTGTTTCCCAGTCCCTAATAAACCAGATCAAAGGCCCCTTTCGTTGAGGTCCAGTTTCTGTCAGGGTTACAACTTCTCAGCTCGGTGATCAAGCCATTGCCCCCCCCCGGGGGGGGGTCAGAAAATGTCCATCATCGACACACTCCCCCAGATAGGAAAAGTGGGCAATCTGAACGCTTCGCGCCTCGGCTTCGGGGCCGGCCGAGCCACGGAGGGCAAAGGGAAAAGCGCCAAACGATTCTCCAAGGCGATCCCCGGGGCAGGCTGAAGTGGCAGCTTTTGACTGCATAATAATGAAGGAGAAGCGGGGCCGCCTGGAAGGGATCTTGGACAAGGAGCGCTTGTCTGAGCGGGGCTCCCCCCGGTCCCCCCCCTCGCTCCCAAACCGCGCTTAAGCTTGGAAATCCAGAAAATGCGCGGGAAAGTGCAGATACACCATTGAGGGTGAAGGAGACAAGCTTTGTCAACCCCTTAGCCCGCCTCTCTTTTCAGCCGGACAATAATGCATTGCGTCCCACATAGAAGAATGGCAAAGCAAACGATTTCTGGCCATTTTATGGAGACCGGGTATTCTTCCTTCCGGTGAGGGGAAGTTAAGAGACACATCGAGAGGCGGCGAAGGGAGGCTCCCACAGTATCTAACGAGCGACGAAAGGAACGGAAAGCGGGGAAACTCTGCCCCCTTCTTTAAAAGCCGCTTATTTCTCTATTTTTAGGGTTGTTTTTCCCCCTCCTAGTTCCCGCCTGAGGAAGTTGCAAATAGTACAGCTTGGATAACCGAGACAACTGATCAAATTTCCCTCCTTTAAAAAAAGAGAAATCCACACGTGGAGGCTTCTATTTTATTTGCAGCCGCTCTCAGTATTTACCCCAGCTATATACTTCGCTATGTTCCATAAATGCAGATGAAGAGAAGAACGCCACGGAAAATCCGGCCTATTTGAGTAATTGGTAGACTAAGTGTTTATTTTAAGTGAGAATAATTTAGCTACAAATTTTCTTAAGAAATAACATTCTTAACATATTAAATTCTCTTCTCCCCCGCAAACTCTGATTTGCTTTTATGTTTGACAGTCACTTCTGAGTCATTGGAGAGGAAAGGCGGGGGGGGGGGGTTGTAATTCCCGACTCTTTGGCGCCATCTAGAGCAAATTTCCTCCCGAAAGCAACACTTCCCTATTCCGATAAGAATTAAGATATAAATCCTTTAAAAAAAAAAAAAAGGACAAGTCAGATCAGCGCCTTGAAATCTGAAGTGAAGCAGCGAAGATAGATACGCTTTTTCCAGTCGACAATTTGTTTATAGAATTCGTTAGGAACTATTAAACCTTGGAGGGCGTTTTCATCCTTTATCCTCTCCACCCCTGCCCCGCCCGCTGATTTTTTAAATATATATTTATGTTAAGATATTATAATTCCTTTACCTCCCTGAATTGGGGAGCTATATAGCGCGATATTTGATCCGGAGAGGTGTTCCAGAGAAACCAGTGTTTTCCAAAGCAAGTGGTGGACCTTCTGACATGCCACAGGTACAATAGTACTATAGGAGTTTAAACAGGTAGGTGCATGCCTCTCTTACCAAAAAAAGCAGTAAAGTTGGGCCAGATCAAATTAAAAGGGGAGGAGGAGAGAGAAATTAAAAATAATTAAGAGGTCATTTTGTAACCCGAACCACGTTTGTTTTCCTTGCTTAAAACACACACATACACAACAAAAACCCTGCCCATTTCAGGTCTTCTACCTAGGAAGCGCGCCTCCAGTTTCCAATGATCGTTCAACAACCCAGAGTTTGGGATCGGGGCAGGGGTGAAATCCAAAATTTTTCCCTACCGGTTCTATGGGCATGGCTTGGTGGGCGTGGCAGGGGAAGGATATTGCAAAATCCCCATTCCCACCCTACTCCAGGGGAAGAATACTGCAAAATCCCCATTCCCACCCTATTCCGGGGCCAGCCAGAAGTGGTATTTGCCGGTTCTCCGAACTACTCAAAATTTCCGCTACCGGTTCTCCAGAACCTGTCAGAACCTGCTGGATTTCACCCCTGGATCGGGGCCCGAGAAAGTCCCCGTGTATAGCTTTTCGATAAACCGGCGGCGTTTTTGATTCCTTCAGGAGCACATGTGGTGCCCCAGCAAGCAGAAAAGTCGCGGGGAAGCCGGAAGAGAAGATTGAGGGGGGTGGGGGAGAGAAACCCTGCCAATCGCTTGACAGGAGATCGGGTCATCTGTAAGAAAGACTACACACTCGTGCCGGTTATTAAAACTCGATTACACCCACCCACCCCTCCTGCGAATCCTCTTCTCCGCCTACAAGCATCGAGGATCGTTTTAAGAAGGAGACAACGCCGCGCTTACCTCCTTTTTAAACCGAGGAGGCGCTCCCTCCCTCCGCCTCCCCAAGCAAAAGCTCACTTTCTAAACCTCTCCCACTTAAGGAAGATCGGAGCGGACCTCTGCTGTGGAGCCCCCCTCCTAAACCCAGCCAGCGTTACCCGCAGAGTTTAGCACACATACACACACACCACAAACATACACACACGCACACGCGGCTTCCCACAGCCAGGCCACGCGAGGGGAAAGTCGGCGGGAGCTTCGCTTCGCGGGACGGTCATCTGTGAAAACAACCCGGAGCGGTTCCACACCCAACAGAGACTCCGCCTCCACCGGCGGGCGCACCCCGAGCGAAATCGGGCTCCGCTCGCCGCGG